TCTCGAGCACTTGCGAGTTGTCTTGGAGATTTTGGCAGCCAACTCATTTTATATCAAGCCGTCCAAGTGCTCGTTTGCTCAAGAGGTGGTCGAGTACCTTGGGCACTTTATTTCTCATGAGAGTGTTAAGGTGGACCCAAGGAAGATCGAGGCAATGGTGGGGTGGCCGAAGCCCGCGAGCTTGACGTAGTTGCGAGGGTTCCTTGGTCTCACGGGCTATTATCAAAAATTCGTGAAGGACTATGGGACCATCGCTAAGCCACTAACGGAAATGACGAAGAAGGGAGCATTCAAGTGGACGAAGGCAAGCGAAAAGGCTTTCGAGGAACTGAAGGAGGCCATGACGACCACACCCGTGCTCGCGATGCCGAGGTTTGATGTGTTGTTCGAGATTCACTCGGATGCGAGCGACATTGGAATCGGGGCGGTTCTAGTGCAGGAAGATCGGCCCTTGGCCTATCTCAGCAAGGCACTCGGGCCGGCGCGCTTGGGGCTGTCCGCGTACGTGAAGGAGATGCTGGCCGTGGTCGAGGCCGTACGCATGTGGAGACCGTACTTGCTTGGGCGACGCTTTCGAATTGTTACAGACCAACAGCCGCTCAAGCACTTGCTCGAGCAAAGGATCGTGACGACCGAGCAGCAGATGTTCGTATCAAAGTTGATGGGATTCGACTTCGAGATAGTGTATCGGCCGGGTCGCCAGAACACCATGGCCGACGCATTGTCTCGCCGGGAAGACGTGGCCGAGCTCGACTGTAACGCCCCGTTCGATCTATAGAATTTCTTGGAATATTCTATATATCGAATATTATTATATTTATTTTATTACTCACCGTGTCGACTTAAATTTAAAAGGTTGGAGTACTCGAGCATTTTATTGAATAATGTTCGTCGTTAGCCGATTTCCGTTTAATCGCTTGAACCGAATATAATATGCTGAAATAATGGATTTTTCCGATATTTCGGCATTTTTAATATTGTTATTTTATTTTATTAACTGAATGTCTAAATGTCATTATTTGTCTAATTGGATATTATTATTATTTATTAGTAATATTAATATTATTTAAATAAATTGCCTAAGTGACATTTATTGCTCGACTATTATATATTTATTTATATTGTGTGATGTAAGTATATAATATTTTTTACTTTATTTTATCGTCGCGAGTGCTCCGAGCCATTTATTTTCGGCTAGGTCAAACCTGCTCTCCCTTTTTCTTGTTGGGCAAGGTTTTTAAACCTAGGCTATCCAGATTAATCTCCTCCCTGCTTATTTTCCTTTCTATCATACGCATGACCAAGTCCTTGTGCAAATTCAGTTGCGATCTTCCAGCGAGATTTTCGTCTCACGATCACTCTCATCTACATAGATCCCGTAATACAAAATCAAATTTCATATCATCAGTCATATATCAACAACACAGTTACTACCTATCACCATCCTCTCCCCCTCTTAACAGCTCATCACCAAAGCCTTACCGTCAGAGTCCCACAGCAGCACCTTCCGTCGCGAATAAACAGCAACGTATCCGACACACGCAGACACAACCCTGTCATGCCGAAGGCTCATCTGTGAGCAGCCCATTGCAGTGAAGCCCAACAGCAAACACATTCCAAGCGATGCTATCAATCACTCGTCGGAATCTGTTACTGGTTCTCGAGTCCGGCTTCAACCGATGCTAGTGGTCGTGTTGTCCGTAAGGTTCCGTCGGACATCTGTCATGCCGCCAGCCGCGTCCACGAGCCCTTTCGCCGGCGTCCCTGAGCACCTCTGTTAATCGAATCCAGCCGAGCCCAAGAGCAGCCGCTGCCAACTCCGACGCCATGAGAATAGAGAGTCGTGCAAACCACCACAAGCCTCAGTTAGGCCCCGACAGTTCGCCTCCAGTGCCTGACAGAACCACCGTTGATTTTCTGATGTTTCAGACGCCGCTCCCTCGGTCATCTGTCAAGCTGCAACCCGTCAGCCGCCTTGATATCCACCAATCTCGCGCCACGCTAAATGACCGTCGCACCCCGCGAGCGCGAGCCCCCCAACGTCGCCCCTGTTGACAGAATCCGAGAGTAGCACCTTGGCCGCCTCCAGCAAAACTCTGTCGCTCGTCAGTCGCTGAGGTCTCGAGTCGCCGCTACCATGAGAATTGAACCGTCGATCGCTGCGAATATTCGTGGTCCAGAGACGCCGCTCGACCACCGGACGGAGGAAGAAATGGTTTCACATCTTCGATAAGCATCCCGAAACCATCGATGGCACGTCCTTTTGAATCGTGGCCTCATCCATGCTCGTCTACGCCAATGCGCGTGTTCGCGCCCTTCTTGAATGCATTTGTTCTTGCGTGTGAGCGTTGCTAGCCTTGAGACCATTTTCTTGCGTGCCCTCGCGCACCTCCATGTGCGACCCTCATTAGCCGCTTCGTGCGCTCGTGCATCACGTCCATGCACTCCTCGATCCAAGCCCGTCCGCATACATGCTCGTACCCGTCTTTTAGGCCATGCTTGCATCATTTTGGCCCTATTTTCAGCCTCATCGGGCCCTCTTGGCTCTTGGACCTTCTTGTCGCAGGGGTCCGAAACCCACTTATGCATCACAGGCCCAGTGCGCCCGCAGCGCGCAGCCGCGCCCAGCGTGTGCAGGCAGCTAGCACGCGCACGTCCACGCGCAGCAGCGCGAGCAGACAGTGCCCAGCGTGCTGATGCGGAAGTGGCTAGGCAATTCAAGAACGCCAGAAGTCGCGCCTATCACGCACGCAAGAGGCTAGCACGGGAGACGGCTGAGATGCGCACTATCGAGGGAACAAAGGAAATATGGCTCGGAAGGTGGCTGGCCGCTGGCTGCGCACGCGCTGTGTGATGTCTGCGCGCGCGCTGGCCGCGTGATACGTAAGTGGGTTTTGACCCCCGACGACAAGAAGGGCCAAGAGCCGAGACGACCCAATGAGGCTAAAAATAGGGGCAGAACGACACATGCATGGCCTACAAGACGGGTACGAGCTCGTATGCAGGACACTCAAGCACATGGGAAGCGGCGTGTACAAGGCAATAGACAAGGGGGCGCACACGCGCAATGGCATAGACGTGCATGGCGTTTGGAGATTAGGCGAAGTGGCGTGCAGGGGGTGGATGTTGGGTGGTTGATGCACGCGAGGGACT